ATATAGGGGGCTACTATAGGGGTTCTTAAAGGGGGATACTAGGAGTTCAGACTATAGCTCATATCTATGTGACGAGTTGTCCCCTCAGCTGTGTAACCGCCTCCCTGTAATAATCGGCCACCACCCCACCCCATTAAGAACACATATCTCTATCCGTTCTATGACATAATTGTGCTGCATTGGGCAAGGCGTGGGGAGAAGCAGTATTCGAAACAAAGACGACGACTTTGGCAACCCAATCCCAACATCGGGACCCTATTATTATTAAGCATATGATAGCTATAGGGTCCCAATGTTGGTGGTTGGGGTTACCCAAACGAAAAACCCTAAAACTGTTAATAAGGAAGGGGACAACTTCTGAATCCAGGATCTCTCCCCTCCGGCCGCGGCATCGTCCTCCGCCAGTGCGGACCTCTCACCAAGAATGAGGTTTGTGGTTTAGGGTCGAGGGTTTAGGATGAAGGGTTCCGGGGCTTTAGGGAGCCTTCAAGCTTAAGCTAAAATATTCTTGAACTTGCTTAGAATTCGTTCCTAGAGCTTTGGATTTGGGACTCAGGTTATGAGATTCCAAAAGATACTGCAAGCTTCTGCTCTGAACCTAAGAAGAACACATGCAAGGCATCTCTGAGCCTAATTTCTTGGGCTCAGAGCGGAGAGTTTTGGATTGAAAGTTGGGTGTTTGGCCTAAATCTTAATCCCCAAACCCTAAATCCTAAACCCTAGACCCTATGAAGTCTAGAGGTACGTGGACGAGCGCTGGTGGAGCGCTAATGATGACTGGTTCCCCTTCCGTCTCGATCGCGATCATTCCTACCTTTCACCCTACCTGGACCCCAAAAAGTATGTAAAATAATGGCCCTTATGGCTGTTACTATGGGTTTAGGGCTATTATTTTACAAATGTTTGAGGTTTAGGTAGACCCATGGCTATACATGTGCTATAGCCCAAACTCCTACAGCCCTACATCTACTACTGTCTCATAACACTACTCTTATAATCCTGTTATGCCACTATTACAGGGTCGGGGGGTCCTCCTAACGAAAATATGTAGCCCAGGGTTCTACCGCAAGCAAGCCGAGGTGAACTCGGAGTAGGAATTTCTATAAGGGTGTAAGATTTAGAGTTTAGGGTTCAGGGTTTAGGATTTAGAGTTTAGGATGTAGGATTTAGGGTTTAGTGTTTAGGGTGTCGACAAACCTGGGGCCTCGAAGCCCTCAGGTTTGGATCTTATTCTTAAGGGCCTCCAAATGCTAAACTGACACAAGCAAGGCCCTAAACGCTGAACGAACGAACTATATGCAAGCAAAATGTGCCATTGCAAGACTTCGTTTCCATCCCACTGCATAGTGGTCCCCGCGGCGGATGAGACGCGGATGCTCAGTGGCACGTCCTTCAGAAAAGAGGTGCAGATGTAGGCTCTGGCATTTTGATTTTCAGGGCCGTTCCTCGGCACCCCTTGTTGTAGGGTTTGGGGTTTAGCTTTTGAATCTCGGCTTTTCAAAGATGCTAGGGCAAAGGACCTGAGTAGGTAGCAAATGAATCTACGCAATTAAGGGGGGGTTCCCGAAACCAGGTCCCGCTTGGCTCCCTTTTAATGACGCTTCCAAAAATAGGGGCCTACGTTAGGGTCCTGCGTATGGAAACTTCCACATAAACATCTTGCATTTATGTCTTTACAGTGTCCTGAACACTTGACGCTTTTCTAAGGTTTTAACGCTTCTAACACCTCTTAAGTCTCCCTTTTGTTCCACTTACAAGTTCAAACCCTTCAGCTTCTCAAGACACATGCGCAGCACGCAACACAAACAATCTGGTTCGATTGCTTGTACAAGCTCTGTTTTTCAGTTCCAGGAAAGCGATATGCTCATGAGAACTATCAATAAGCGCCTCGCGCATTCAGCCACGCAAACAAGCGCCGAAAAAAGATAAATAAAGCTGCTTGTCTCCCGGGAGACATCTGATTGCTAGGCTTCATGAAAAGCCAGAATATCATCTTGAGCAACAAGAAATATAATCTGAATATTATCTTCTGCGTCACCATGATAATACATCCGCACCCACACATGTACTTCACTGACATCCTGGTATGTCAGGTCTTTCACCACGTTGGCATGGAAGTGGCCGCACACCCACCTTAGTAGTATCAAACAACTAGGCAGTTAGCCCTCAACCCTGAAACAGATGGGAGCTTCCCACAACAAATTTTCGAGTCTCCTCTATACTCTTCATATTGGCCACATAACCCCTTCATGATCCACGATTTCTAAGAGCACTCCCCCCATTGAGAACCCCCCCCCCCCGGTTGAGAGTCTGATGGAAAGATTCAGGGTTTAGGGTTTGCGGCGCAGTGGTAGGGAATCAGGCAAGATTTAGGGTTCAGGGTGAGAAGCGAGATTCCTAGAGTAGAGGACACGGAAAAATCAGGAAAACAAAGGCGGAACAAGGAGCTAAGCAGGTTTGCTGAACTCTCTTAGTGGAAGACAGCTCACCCATGTTATACATAAGCCCTAAACCCAGAACCCACGTTCTCCAACATGATACGTGTGCGGACCCCCGGAAAGATGGCTGTCGTGAGGATTCCACAAGTCCGTCAGTGCTGGCACTTAGCAGCAACCACTAAAAACGGGGAATGTAAGCCAACCCCTCAACTCTGAATGCCTAGGCCCAAAGCCCCTACACCCAAACCATGGACCCCGAAACTATAAACTCCTAAGCCCCTGAACCCCTGAACCCGACAACCCGACACTCTCAATCCTAAAACCTAAACCTTGCCTACTGCCCCCGCCAAATAATGGTTGCATAATAACTATAACATCTTTCTAACCTTAGATTTTAAGCCCCAAAACACTCAACCCTCAACCCTCCACTCTAAGCCCTCAACTCTAAACCCTGAACCCTAAACCCTTAATATGACCTCTATGACAGACTGTTACTGGGCGGGGGCCGTACCCAACCTGTGCCCAAAATCTGAGTCCCTCCAGCCTGAGCCAAGGGTTTAAGGCTTCGGGTTCAGGGTGTAAGGTTGAAACTTTTAGGGTTTAGGGTCGAAGGTTACGAGTTTAGGGTCCAAAGCTCTCAACCTTAAGCCCCAAACCCCAAATCCTAAGCAGCATGGTCTATGGTTCAGGGCTTAGGGCTTCCGGTTCCGGTATTCGGGCTTAGGGTTTAAGGCCATGAGCCCTAAACTGCGCCCCGCCACAGCATAGGTACCTTCGGCGTTGCCAGCAGGTCCAAGATTTGCCTGCGGTACACCTGCCTGGGTTGCTGCTAAGGAACCTACATCAGGGCGTCGGGTTTAGGGTTTAGGGTTTAGTCGGGTTTGAGGGTTTAGGGCTTAAGTTGGCATATGATATGGTTGTATAAGAAACATAGGACCCCCTTATTATAGTAGCGCGATTTAAGTTCCTTAACAGCGACCCAGCTGCTTCCAGTTGGCCCAGCCTTCCTGTTCAGAGCTTGGGCTCAGGAATTACTCGGTCTAGGATTTGGACTTTTTGGTTTCTAGCCTGTGGAATTTAGGTGTTATAGGTGGGCTTATAGATTAGGGTTGAGGGTTTAGGGTTTAGGGAGAATTTTGTATTTAGAGTTTATGTATGTACCTGTGGAGCCAGCTGGTGCAATCAACGTCCACTTCGTCCTAAACTCATTCAACTGTGCAATGTCATCATGGTCAACTAGCATCTCCAAATAAGCCATATGCTAAACTCCTAGTATCCCCC